CCTGATAGCAGACAATGGGGATAAAACCGTGAAGGTGTTTGATAGCAACGGAAAGTTTGATTTTATATTTAATCCTCAAACTGATGACGCCAATACAGAGTTATATATTTTGGATGTCGCCACTGCAGGCGAGGACGACAGGATCTATGTACTGGTCAGACTGAGGAAGCCTGGGGCTAAGAACTGGGACTGGGAAGTGCAGGTTTTGGTAAGTACGTGGTGTAAGCATCATATAGTAGTTTGACGTTAGTTACTAGAAGCAATGTATATATACAGCCCAGCATATATAGAGGTACATAATCCTACATAGCCCTACTTAGCCATACTTAGCCATACATAGCCATACATAGCCACACATAGCCATACATAGACATACATAGCCCTACATAGCCATACATGGACATACATGGTAGATAGTGATCGACTGGTTAATCTAGAAGGTTATAATATTGTTCGCTGGGATAGAAACAAACACGGTGGTGGAGTTTGTCGTTACCTGCGAAATACAATAACATTTTCTAGGCAACATCAACTTGAAAATGATGATCTTGAATTAATTGCATTAGAAATTCATGTCCATTTCTTATTGCTACCTGGTACCGGCCACCAAACACACCTTTGGATTCTTTTTAAAAATTCGAAATGTTTTTGAAGGAGGCAGATGCCAGGTATTCAGAAATTTACATACTCGGAAATTTAAACTCTAATATTCTTTCTAATCCCCAGAGGTTCACACTACCCAGTTATTGGACCTGATGGTTGATTATCAATTGGCACAATTAATAAAAGAACCTACAAGAGTTAATGCCAAATCGCAAACTCTTATTGATGTATTTATTACGAACAAGGAAGATAACATATCTCATTCGGGAATATACACACTTTCCATTAGCGACCACTATTTAATTTATGCTGTTAGAAAAATTGGTTTACCCAGGGGACAACCAAAGTTTATTCAATCGAGGAATTTTAAACATTTCAATGAAGAAAATTTCTTACCAGATCTGAAAAGTGCCTCATGGCGGTATGGAAATGAATAGCGCGTGGAATGCATGGAAAATATGTTTTTGAATATAGTTGATAAGCATGTTCCGAGAAGAGTCATGCGAGGCAGAAATAAACCCGCTCCTTGGTTAAATTCTCAGTTAAAAGAGAAAATGTATGAACGTGACTGGCTAAAGAAAAAACCTTCAGAAACGCAGCGGCCAGATGTTTGGAAGGCAACCAAGGAGCGGGTTTATTTCTGACTCGCATGACTCTTCTCGGGGCATGCTTATCAACTACATTCAAAAATATATTTTTCCATGCATTCCACGCACTTTATATTAACTAACGTCAAACCACTATATGATGCTTACACCAGGTACCTACACGGGAGTTTAACAAGACCGCTGACCTACAGCACAAGTTTACTGTGAGGAGAGGGGGCTGGAACAGACTAACAGTGAGCAGCGGCAAACAACGCGGCAAAATTCTGCTGTTGTCAAGTTGTGTTGTTCATGTTCACGAGCCTAGTGGCGAGTTTGTTTGTAGCTTTGGTGGAGGAGTGTTGCAGAGGGCATCAGATATCACTTCTACGTATGATGGTCGCGTCATGATAGTGGACCCAAAAGATTACAGTTTTTACTTATTTGATATCGAGGGACACCAGCTTGGCAAATTTAATATCAAAAATGAGAGAGATGACGTTAATCTCATTGAGTGTCACCCGGTAAGTGACCATGTCGTCCTTGCTGGTGAGGAACGAGAGACTGACCGCCTGATACTGGCAATATACACTGTTAATGGCGAATTTGTTCGCAGAATTCAGCTGGATGAAGAATTATTTACCTTGTACGGAATAGCAGTGACCGTGGAGGGTCACATTGCTGTGGCTTTTAAAGACAAGCATTACAAACAAAAGGTAATCGTTGTTTAAAACTAAAAAATTCGAAGACACAAGTCAACAGTTCTTACTTTACTTTCATGAATAAATATCATCAAGGCAGATGTTTGAATTTAATGATGCAGTTGGTTGGCATTACTGGACATGACTGGATTAAGCCACATACACTGTAAACAACTTCATCCCCTCTTAAGTTTACTGATGTTTGAAATAAGTCTTGTGTTAAAGCTCTAACCTTTAAAAAGAAACCAAAACAGATAAAATGAATGAGATACATGTACAGTAAACACTCGCTAATAAGAACCTACATTTTTTGAGGTCTGGCAAAAAAGGTTCATTTATTTTGGGGTAGTTATTAGCAATTTAGGCTAAGTACAACTGTAGGTTCTTAATTAAGTTTTAATTTCTATGGAGGAGATGTACAGGGCTGTCCCAAAAGTTTGTTCCTCTAATTTCATGCACAATTAATGTATTTTTACATAAAATTTCTAAAAGATGTTTATTTCTCTATCGAGTACATGATTGTATTCAGAAGTTCAGTAAGCTCATGCATCTCCCCTTTTTTTTCTTATCACATTCTGTAGCCATTGCAGCATAGGGTGGGATAAGTCATCATAGCGTCTAGAGCCCCAGATGAGCCACTTTTAGCTTTTTTACCACCTGGTTGTTTCTTTGACAATTAGTGGTATATTAATATTTTTATTTGCACAGGATGGAAAATAATACAATCCAGATTCAGTTGGTTTACAAAAACATCCTCATCATTTATCAGCTTTTCTATAACTCTTTTCGTTAAAGATTCGGGTTTTTATGCCTAAATTGCTCTAACCCAATTGCATGCCACATCAAAAAACTCCTTTCGGTTCAAATCTTCTCCAGCAAAAATAATTTATGATGCTCTCTTCTTGATTTAAGCAGGCAATAATGTGATAACCCGGATATAAATAACCAATACAACCTGCCGTCTTTTTGGTCAGGTGTGCAGGCTCATTCCCAGAAACATTGGCTGGTAATCAAGCCTATTAGTAAGATAATTAAGATTTTATTCCAACAAATTTCACTCAATAAAGCATAGATAGTTTCTGGGCAGTGGTTTTCCCCAAATTTTCAGGCAAAGCCAGCCTCTCTTTAATCCTAAGGACACTAAGGAAATGATCCAGATTTGAAACTGCCACATGACATACAGTCTATTATAACGAAAGAGGGCTCTCTTCAGTTGACAAGCATCCCTCAAAACTGCCTTTGCTTAACTGTTCTGTAATCAATCCTGCTCGTTAAAAATTCTTTTTGTGCAGGTTAAAGTGTCTATTGGGCTAGCACATGCTAGGTACAGCTTGTATAAATGGCAAGCTGTAAAACTGACTTTCTTAATAAACCCTGACAGATTCATGATTTGCATGTGAAAATAATAGAAATGTAACTCAATATGTAATGGCAATTTTGTGATGTCTTTAAACTGTTTTAATAATGAACTTTGGCATGTAAATCATAGGCAAAAAACATACTGTTGGCCTTAATAAATTAAAAATTATATTAAGTTTTGCTCATGAAAACTTTGACTGCTTTGCAGAGCCTATTGCCTGCTATATTATTAATAAAGAATGCATGATTAAATATTATTGTAAGTTTGTATTTGGTAACTTAACAATTTCTCTTTAAACTGTTTTAGGTTTGGCTAATAGTTTTCTGTAGGCTAAATCAGAGGTATACATACATCGTTTTTTAATTTGGTTGACCTGAATTAAAATATTAAGGTTGACCCCTGCTTTTAATGTTAGTATACAGCTGTAGGGGAAACTCTGCAGCTGAATCACCTGATGGAGATCTCTAAGTGTTCATTATGGGGAGGTAGGTTTATAAAGCCTGGTTTACATATGATCGTCCTCATCGCGCCAGTCGTTTTAAAAATTTTGAGATGATCCAGACAACTGGGACGATAGGTGGTTTCCATGTGATTGTCCGGGTGATTGCCTCAACGACTAGATCAGAGACACGGGGTCATAAGTGATGTTTCTGGGTCAGACGATAGAATTTTTGCGTGGGTTTCGCGAACAAGCCAAATATACATGTAATGATGGATTTTAAATGGACAGCAAATCTCGAGCCTTGCTATCTGCATTATTTTCTCTCTATTTTGCAGCATCAACAAGCTAGAAGTCAGTTTCACAAAGACATGGTATCATTGTCTAGATCTTGATGAGACACACTTTCTGTTCAGTTTCAAATAGCTCCCTTAAGCGATGTGAACATTTTAAAATTATTTTCGACTTCAGTGGCATCCAGGGCAAATATATTCTTAATTAATATGGAATGATAGTGATGATTTCTGGGATAGCCGTCGATCATCCTGATAGTCTCAGTCATCTAAGAGCATTTCCAGATCACTTCAAAATTTACACGATCCTCCCAATCGTCCGGGAAGAACTCAACTCTATTCAAGTGATCAATAGGCTGGTCATCTCAGTCATCAGGGTCATTTGCGATCGTCTGGGTAACATTTTCATACATGATTGTCTCGATCGTCTGAACTTTATTTGAGGCAACTGGGACAATCACAGCACAGCCAAAATGTGTCAGTGACAGTGTTGTCGTGGAAAAGGTATAATATTATATACATAAATATAGTTATATATATGCTTATAAAAGAAATGTGATTTTTCTTGGCCAGGGAAAATCAGGAAAGTTTGCAAGTGGTCAGGAAAAGGCATACTTGTTGTGAAGGTCTGAAAAAGACAGCCGCAAAGTTTATTTTTCTGGTAAAAGTTTTCAGAAAACACAGTAAAAATCATTTAAAAAAAGTCAAAAACAAAGGGTAGAGTAACATTGTTTATTTTTTTTAAGGAATTTTTTTATAAGTTTCTGTTGCTGATTGAGTTAATAAACTCTATTTAACATAATTACTGGTATGAACAACAAGCAAACAAAACCTCAGGAAAAAAATTGTTTAAGGGACTGGTCATTATTTATCGGGACGGGGGGCTGGTGCAATGTAAAATATGCCACGCTTGATTTTTGCTGACCCCCCCTTTACTTTAACATGATTTTTGCTGACCCCCCTCCCCCGCCATCCCCCTTGTCCTCCGGCATGCATGAAACAAAAAGTATTGTATTTACTTGTATCAAGTCACCATGTCCAACTGATAGACATTCTATTTAAAGCTACCTTAAATTTGGATTTGAGTTGATCTTCGCCCAGACCGTACTGTGTAGACAATTGTATCAATTGTCGTATTGACTGTTGCAGGCAAATATTTCAGTGAAGATTACGTATTTACACGCTCTGACCTACCTATATTGGAAAACAACTTGAAAATGGTTCAAGATATTAAGACGTCCATCCAGAAGCAGGAGGAAGATGCGAAAAAACATCTTTGTACTCATTTCTCCAAAGCAGGGAAACTGCTTCCAGGACACAATCACCCAAAAACATTTGATGAAAAACTTATTGGCAAACTTATAAAAGTTAAAGAAAGGGTGATAGAAATAGAAGAAAGCCTTAAGGAAAAGTTAGAAGACATCAAATATGTTCCAATATGCCCCCCCATGTGAATGTAAAAACCAAAAAGCGTTCTTTCAAGAAAAGCTGCCAACATACAGAAAGTGCGAGAGTTTTTTCGAATGCTTCTGCATCTGAAGTAATTCAAATCAAAACCTAAGATTGGAAGCTCTATCTACATTATCATTGTGTCAAGTGAAATATCTACAAATTATGTATGAAGATAGACAACTATGTACTAAAGCTGTAAACTTGATTAGTGAATATGTAGACAATTTTCCAAGAAACGAAAACACTAACCTAGAACCAGATAATGCCTATGATGATGACAGTAATAATAATGATGATGATGATGATGATGATGATAAAGACAACGATGATATTGATGATGATGCAGACAATGATGACAATGGTGATGATGACAACAATGGTAATGGCGATGATGACAATGATGATGATTATTAAATGCTGAGGACAACAACAATGATGATGATGGTGCTGGTTATGTTTACAGTAGAAATAAGATCAATGTTGTAAGATACTGATTTGTAAGTGTTAATAAAAGTTGTTGTATAAAGCTATTTTAATAGGCTGCATTTGTTGATGGCATCCAGATGAAGCTTTTCACATTTTTGCTGGCAAAACGTTTGCATATTTCATAATGCCCCCCTCCCTTTAAACCATTCATAAAAAATGGTGGCCCACCCCTATTTGCACCAGCCCCCTCCCGATAAATAATTACCAGTCCCTAAGGGCAAAACAAAGTGAATAAGGTGTTGACTGAGAGTTTATACTTCAAGTTGTTTTTTGCATATTAACTTCAAAAGAAGCAATGACATCATTGCCTATAGCATTGTAAAATAAATATTATGGCCTTGTGCCCAAATCTTAGTCAGCTAACAAGGTCATTGTTTAACCACTGCTAGGATTTTGATGTATGATAAACATGTGGAAAAAATGAACAATGTTAATGTTAACATGTCTATTAGTCTGTTATACATGTAGCAAAATGCAAAACTTTGCCTTTGATGACATTCATCACGAAAAAATCTGCACTGTTCAGTTACTGTTGTGTCTTCGAGTTTATTAGTTTTAATCAACAATTTATAACAGAAGCATATAACCTCTTCGGGGTTATATGCTTCTGTTTATAATGAAAGGGTGTGTGGAAAAAAAAACTGGTAACTTTTTGTAGATTTTTAGGTATTTTCAGGTTTTCATGCCTGTGATTTGACAGACTGCAATTTTTATTAACATGTATATAACACTAAATAATGTACTATGCATTTGTTTTGGGACACGAATTTTCAATATCGAGATTAACATAATCAAGAAGCCGAATAAGAAGGTCTAAATTCCTTGTTGAGCAAGACAACAAGAAAATGGCAGGGGGATTTTATTGAAAAGCTGATGTTAGTTTACACAAGTACCAAACTTTCCAATTACCTTTTAGGGGCAGTGTCATCAAGGTTTTGTGCTACTTCAAAATCCAACAAATGCATAATTATATCATTATGGAAACCCACTGATTCGCTAT